TATATATATATATATATATATATAAACCTACTGCTGTTGAGTTGATTCCCACTCATAGTGAGAATCTATAGTACTATAGGACAGAGTAGAACAGCCCTGCAGGGCTTCCAAGGCTGTAAATTTTTATGGAAGCAGACTGTCACATCTTTGTCCCATGGAGTGGCTTATGGGTTCGAACCACTGACCTTCTTGGTTAGCAGCGAGTGCTCTAACCACTGTGCTACCAACCACATGCATTTAAAAATTTTTTTTTGCTATACATGTTTTTGTTATTGGTATTTGAACACAAGTCCAATTGATTGAGTTGTTTTTCTTTTTCTTATTGATTTTTAATTCTTAATATATTCTGGGTCCTATTTGTGTAGGAAGAGCCCTAGTGGCACAGTGGTTAAGAGCTATGGCTGCTAACCAAAAGGTCAGCAGTTCAACTCCACCAGCTGTTCCTTGGAAACCCTATGAGGCAGTTCTACTCTGTCCTATAGGGTCACTATGAGTTGGAATTGACTCAGTCAGTGGGTTTGGGTTTTTAATTCATCCAGGAAAGAGCCCTGGTGGCGCAGTGGTTAGGAACTTGGCTGCTAACGAAAAGGTCGGTGGTTCGAACCCACCAGCCTCTTCGCAGGACAAAGATGTGACAGTTTCGTTAAAGATTATAGCCTTGAAAACCCTATGGGGCAGTTCTACTCTGTCCTATAGGGTCGCCATGAGTTGGAATCGACTTGATAACAACAGGTGATTCGTCCAGGATCTTATTTGACGGAAATATCTTCTCCCAGTTTATGGCTGGTATCTTTACTCCCTTTATCATGCTTTTTGATGTACATTAGAGATTTTCTTTAAAGCAGTTAAATCTATCAATCTGAAAAAGTATTTTTTGCTTGGATTATTCATGGCATTGATATATTTTTTTAAATGGGTATCTCCAAGTTCAATACACATACAATCAGTATAGTAAACGTGCATGTCTTTCTGGCTCCTTTCATGCTTTTGTCAGCATTATTTTTCACATTAAAGACTGCTGTTGTTTTTAGTTGCCATTGAGTCAGTTCAGACTCATAGTAACCCCACGTGTGCTGTGACCCTTCAGAAGCAGATCACCAGGCCTGTCTTCTGAGGCATCTCTGGGTGGGTTTGAACTGCCAATCTTTCAGCTAGTAGTGGAACACGTAACTGTTTTGTGCCACCCAAGGACTCCCCATTAATGACTGTAGTTGTTGTTGTGTGCCCGCCGAGTTGACTCTGACTCATAGCAACCCTACATGACGGAGTAGAGCTGCCCCATAGGGTATCCTAGGCTTTAATTTTTGTGGAAGGAGCCCCGGTGGTGCAGTGGTTAAGTGCTCAGCTGCTAACTGAAATGCTGAACCCACCAGATCCTCCACGGAAGATGTGGCAGTCTGCTTCCCTGGGGTCACTATGAGTTGGAATCGACTCAACTGCAACAGGTAACGGAAGCACCACAGACCTTCTGGTTAGCAGCTGAGCACTTAACCATTGAGCAACCAGGGCTCCTCCATTAAAGATTTAAAAAAAACCAAACCCACTGCCGTCTAGGCCATTCCGACTCATAGTGACCCTGTAGGACAGGGGTAGGACTGCCTCATAGAGTTTCCAAGGAGTGACTGGTGGATTCCAGTTGCAGACCTTATGGTTATCATCTTGCGCTGTTAACCACTGTGCCACCAGGGCTCCAATAAAGATTAGGTGATATATATTCAATGAAAGGCTTGCTTTGTAGATGCCCTCATAATGCTCTAAGGCAGGGGTTGGCAAACTTTTATCTCTTAAAAGGCCAGATAGTAAATATTCTAGGCTTTGTGGGCCATATGGTCTCTGTTACAACTACTGAGCTTTGCCATTACAGTGTGAAAGCAATTGTAAACATTATGTATAGAATGACTATGGCTGTGTTCCAGTAAAACTTTATTTATGGTACTGACATTTGAATTTCGTAAGTGATGAAATATTATTCTTCTTTTGTTTCCCATCATTTATGAAGGTAAAAACCATTCTTAGTTCATGGGCTGTACAAAAGCAGGTGGTGGGCTGGGTTTGGCCCCCAGGCCGTAGTTTGCTGACCCCTGCTCAAAGGTGTTGTGATGAATCCTGTGGAACAAACTGCGTCTGTGGATAACTATTTTGGAAGCGGTTTCTGAGCTTGTTCTATGCCCTAGAAAAGTGTTTACAGTCCCCTGAATTGAAGAGCAAGGTAAGTGACAGGTCTACCTCAGACTGCACAACATACCATATTTATGACAGAATGTTCCTTGCGTAAATGGGTGCATTGTGAGGTAAGAAGCTGGTGAACTATCATTGTGTGGCATGCTCCTCAATGGTGGTGGACACTCTCTGGATGCTTGCCCTTTATTCCTAGGGAAGTGTGTGTGCTAATATCCATTGTTATTAGTATCAAATGCTCTGAAAAATAGGTCCCGTGTTACACAGTGTTTCCAAGTTCTGATTTTTGGCTTCAAAGCTCTGAACCTGCAGCGAGGCTTTCCTGGAGCTGATACATGGCAGTGCCGATTTCCTCAGTGTTGGAAGGAAGAATCAGGCTTGAGTGCTTACCAAGCAGGACCTCTCCCCCAGCAGATAGATGGGGCCATCATGCTGGTGACCTAAGACACACAAAATCATTGCCTCACACAAAAACGCTCCAGGCTTTGCAGGCAGCTTCGTGCAGCATACCCAGACTAGGAGGTCGGAACTGTGCACATGACTATAAATTAGAGGCACGAGCTTCGTAACTGCTTAGCCAGAGAGAAGATCTCCCTCAGGTGAGCATATCAGACGCCTTGGAGAAAAAATCAGGCCCTAAAGGCAGGTTCATTGGTTCCCCTGGGAAGTCAAGGCCTTGCAACTAATTACAAAGTTCCTGCAGGCTGGGCCTTAAGGGTGACCTGACGGCCCCTGAAGGCTGGTCCAACCTTCTCTGACATCTCGCGGGCTCCTCCCCGCCCCCTCTCCCTCCCACAGGGCCCCGCCCCATTCTCGGGTCGCACCTGCGGCCTAGCCGCTTTGGGGGCGGGCGCCCCGGGACGAGGGGCGGCCCGGCCAGTTGCGAACCTCGGCCCAGCAGGGCGGGACCGGCGAGTCCCTCCCGGTCAGCGCAGGCCTCGCCGCGAGTCCCTCCCTC